GGTGTGCTGCCCTCTAGGGCTGAGAGGGCAGCTGAGCCCGGCTTGCAGGGGCGACAGGGGCGAAGGACGAGGGCTCGCAGCGGTACGAAGGGTGCTCAGGCACCCTGACCCCATCCCGGCTGCAGGGCTTGCAGGGTGAGTCTCCCCTTCCTTGCAAAACCCTGTTAATGTCCTTGTGCTAATGCCTCACCGCAGAGTGTCACAGTCTATGGCCAGGGGTCTGCTTTTGAAGGAATTAAATATAATATATGCCTATATAATGTAATATAGGGCTTCAGAATAATTTTCAGGGATCAGCAACTTCATGAGAGCCTTTGAGCAGGGGACTTGAAGCAAAGTCTGTTGTGTCACAAGAGTACTCGTACGTGGCCAGAGATAGGACAGACAGGAGTCCTGGGAGACATCTACTGATGACCATGCAAACCCACATCATCTGTTACCTGGCCGGGGTGTGGCTTTGATCCCGAGAAACTCTCTGATCCGGAGAGGGAGGAGTCGGCGTTTCGAAACTGGGCTGTTTTGAGACAGTAGAGCCACTCCTGGTAATCATCATAGCTGCGGCAGATCACCCGGATCGAATTGATTAGGCGGCCTGTAAAAACATCACTCGCTGCTATTACTAGGTTTGATCGACAGTCCGTGTTGCTTCCTTCAGAAACCCATGGGAACCGCCTTGCTCCATCCCTCCCCACGTTCTCCTGGGCTCTGGAGACCCTGACACCAGTGCAGGGACAACAGGAATGCTCTGCCTTCGGTGCCGACCATTTGCACCCGGCTGAACGTAGGACAGGGGCAACCACAGCCCAGATCTAAATGAGGGGGAACCTGTGACAAGCGCATCCCCGGTGCAAGTGCTGCCGCTGGTTCACAGCCTCTCCCTGCCAGCAAAGCCAGGCCCTGCAGCGCAGCCAGGGCACAGACGGTCCGAGATTTCCAAGCAGTTCGGTTCACAGAGCTTGGGTGCCGACATGAGCGAGCACAGCCAGGAAGATGGCCACAGCAGCTT